CTCTGCAGACCACACTGATACAATACAGCCTTCATACCCTGCTCTCTGGGTTTCGTGCTTATACTGAGTTTCAAATTTAAGATAATGACTACTGTATATTCATGCGAACATATAACAATACTTTTGATTTGTTGTGGAAAGGTTGAATCCATTACCAGGGGTCTCGTCTATAAACCCTGACACAACCTTTACACTTGAGTTATTATTTACCCTTTTCTAGAATAAGGCCACTAAAAATGTTTTGTATGTACAAAATTATAAAAATTCATTCACGTATCCAGGGATCAAACTGCCAGGGAGTTGTCTCTTCCATTTCGGTTCAAACTCATGCATAGATAAGATCTTCAGAATTCTCATTTATATGTAATACCGTACTATATGAAGATTAGGCACCATGGCTTTCAAGTAAAAGGATGAAACAGTAAGCTGACTGCAATCCAGCATTGGCTGGCTTGTTCTATCACTGTATAGACCGAGGGATGGTGTAAATGAGAGCCTTTCACTGCCCACTTGAGAGTTTGCCATTTGAGGATGTCTTCACTGTTAGCTATAGAGAGCCGCTCGTGGAAGATCATATGACCAAGTGTCACACTGCAGATTTTTATAGCTTTCCATGGGCCCCTTGCTGGGGTATTATTGATCCAGTCTTCCAGCTTCTTTGAAGTCTTAGTGATTAAACATCTCAAATTGTACCCTAAATCAGACTTACAGGACAACACCTAAATCAGAACCGAACATGAGTGCTTTGGTAATAATGGAACCAAGATTTACCCATTGTGTGGAGTTCACCTTGTTTTAAGTAAATAGATGATCAGAACACCCCAATGATAAGTTTGTGTTCCCATACACAAATTAACCACTGCCAGGATTTTATAGCACAGACGGCATGGAAATGTTGTGTTCAACTAGTACTTATGGCCCAGTGGAGTGGAAGATTAGCAGCATACATCACTATTCTTATCAGAGAATCTGCATGGAAAATAGTCCAGAATAAACATCATCTATCCTCAACATCTGGGAGATAGGCACTAAAAATTATTTGAGACCAAAGTTGGAAAACCTATGGAAGATTTCCTTAGCTTAAGGTACTCTTTCATCGTGTCCAAGACACCAGCGGAGCATGACATGTGGCTGGAGACACAGCTCAGTAGAGTGCCTGCCTGGCATGCCCAAAGCCCTGCCCCAGTACCACATAAACCCACCATGGTGATGCATACCTATGACCCCAGCACTTGAGAAATGGAAACAGGAGGTTCAGGAATTGGGGCACATCCTTGGACTTGTAGCAAGCTCAAGGCCAGTCTGGGATACATGAAACACTGTCAAAAAAAAAAAAAAAAAAAAAAAAAAAAAAAAAGCATAAACATACACAAAAACCTGTATTAGTGTGGGATACAGTCTGGGATATAGTGTGGTAGCCCAAAAATATTTAGGCATTTCCCATACAATGAAAACATTCAACTGAAAAGCCAAAAGAAGCTCTTATCTAAAGAATTGCAGGGTGTATTAGTTCAGAGAAGGGGTATGTTCCTACTGCAGAGAATCCCCCAAAATACAGTAGCTCAAGAATATGGGGATTTGTTTCTCTCTTAAGTGGGCATTCTCCATGAGCATTCTACAGGGATAAGAGAACCTCATGGGTACTTGGCGGTGGTGACTTCCTGTCTTACCGATCTACGCCCCCAACACTGTAGCAGAGCTTCTCAAGCTTGTGCCGTTACAATGGCTTTCTGTAGGGTGAGGAAGAACTTGCTGTTGTGTGCATTGCTACATGCTGAGCAGTCCTGGCCTCTACCTGACTGATGCCAGTAACACTTCCTTCTATCAGTTGTAACAAGAAAAACATCTCCAGACATTTCCAAATGTCTTGGTGGGTGGGGAGGGAATCACCTTTCCCCAGGTTGAGAACCATTGCATGAAAGTGTTGTTATTACTTTCATATCAGAATCTGAATGGTAGAGATTGTCACATCTAAGACTGAGGAAAAGGAAAAATTCAAGGAGGAGCAAATGTCCAGTATCTGACACTAGACTTATATGCAGAACATACAACTCTACCCATGTCTGTTGCTGAAAACTTAGTCACTGGACCTCTATTAAATATTTATACGCAGATAAAAGTAATCTACTAGGAAGCTAAGTGTTGTGGTTTGAGTGTGAAATGTCCCCATAAGTTCATGTGTTTGAACACTTTATCCCCAGCTGGTGATGCTGTTTGAGAAAGTTGTGGAACCTTGAGGAAGTGGAACTTTGCTGGAGGAAGTGAGTCACTAAGGGCAGGCCTTGAGGTGTTACAGCCTGGCCCCATGTCCTATCTACTTTCTGTTTCTTGACTACAAAGAACAATGTGACCTGTCACCTTGCACCCTGCTCTTCCCTACCATAATGAACTGTAGCCTTTCTTAAACTGCAAGTCAAAGTACACCATTTCCTCCCCTTAACTTGCTTCTTCGGGTATTTGATCACAACAACCAGAAGAATAACAAATACACACAGTAACCTGCTAAGTGGGAAGCAAAGGGAATTGCTGGAGCCATGCTTTGTGCAGACAGGAAGGGGAGAGACCCAGGGAAGAAAGTAAAGGATGTAACTTTAGATGGGAGTGCAGGTCCATAGTGACAGGAGTGAAAGAGGGTGAACAGAACACATGCAGGTCTAGGAGTCATTCTTACAACAGAACTTGAAGAACAGGCAGAAAGTTGGATTTCACTACGGCTAGAGTTTGTCAGGTGACAATGGGAAAGAACAAAACAGGCAAGCCTCTGTGCAAGGGAGTGACCATAAAGCTTAACTGTATGAAGAAAGCAGAGAAAATGGCAAAATGTGGAGGAATGATGGCAAGGTGGTAGAGCTGTAGTCCCAGTGGAACAGAAAGGTGTCCTGCATTGGGATACTAAAGGGAGAGATCCCGAAAGATAAAGATAGATGTTGACACTGGAAACAGATTGAGAGGGCCTTACATTGACTGGTAAGGTCAGGTCTAAGTACAACCAAGGGAAATAATAGCCAAGTGGAGTGAAGGGCAAGATCTAAGAGAACAGGAGCTCAAGGAATTTGGGCACAAAGTGGAATGATCCACATGTCTGTTGAAACAACTAAAGAAAATAACAGTAAAGTGGTAAAAGCCAATGATGAACAAACCATCCCAGCTGTAGGGAGATAGCACCAAGCATGAATGATTAGTTGCATGATCTGAGGTTTAGGAAGAGAAAGAGAGAGGGTTAATGTTCTGAAAGAACAACATTTTGAGGCCATCTACCCATCTCTAGAGCCAGTAGTAATAAGAATGAAAAATAAAGCAAAAAAGGTTTCTGGGCTCTAAGAGAGCCAAACTTCTATTAAAGCAGGAAAGCAAAGAGTTCCTCAGGGGACAAGGTGAAGACATAGAGTATGGTACTGATAGTAGCCCAAGTATTCCATTTCCTAAATTCAAAATAGGATTCAGGAAATAAGGGTTGTTAGATTTAGGAGGTCAGAAAAAGGAAGGGGTTTAAAGTTTAGAAATAAGAGTCAGAGCCAGACCTGCAACAGGCAAGGAATGGGTTCCCAGGATCTAAGGAGCCCCAGCAAAGGCCGAAATGTTCTTCTTCAAGGAATGATTATCTACATTGAAATGGGGGGTAGTTTTGACTTATATGGGGACTATGCTGCACACAGCTGCAAGAGTTAACTCCATGGCAGGGTCTGGTGTCCTTGAAGGTCTCCCAAGATTGTTTTCTCAAGTAGTCGGGTGAGTTACCTATAGCACTAAAGGAGACAGATGGGCTCCATGAACAGCCTCTCTCAGTCCAGGGAGCGACCTGTTGATAGGGCTTGAGCAGTACCAAGCTGGAGGAAGACCAGGCTGCCAATTTAGAGCCAGTTAGACATGCTAAGGGATTTATGGCTTTGCCTAATGAGATGTGTGGCTCTTCTGCAATTCACACATTCTATCAAGGGTCACCTGAAAACTGTCATAGTCAGGGATGGAGCATCTTATTAGATTGGTCCCAGTGGATTCAAATCAAAATCAAGAGACCAAATATGAAAGTTAACTAGCAAACTCTCTCTCTCACACATTTGACATGTTTGACTTCATAATTTGGGTAATTTATATTGCTCTCTAAATTAACATCAGTTCTGAGTATTGTTTTAACAAGTCATCTTAACAGCAACAGTAGCCTATCCAGTTGTTATTTTTTTATATCACAAGAATTCTTTGGGCTTGGCTGGATATCAGCCAGGTGATCTAAGTCTTACTCAGATGACAAATTGGCAAATTTGAAGGGTCAAAAACAGATTTTCTCACACTCTAGATCCTTGGTGGGGCTGGCAGGAAGGCTAGGGCTCCTAGAGCACTCATACATGGCCACCCAGCATGGCGGCCCTGGGGTAGAAGAACTTCTCATACATTTACTTGCTTTCTCAAAAAGAAGTATCCTAAGACAACCAGGTGAAGGATGCAGGGCCTTTTCTGACCTAGCCTTGGAAGTCATACAGCTAGTCACTTGCATCTGTTGAGTTTAAAAGCCTGAAGACTAGCTCAATTTTAAGAGATGAAATATATTGTGCTTCTTAATAGAGGACTGTCTATTAAGTCACACTGTCGAAGCAGGTAGAATGGAAGACATGGTTGTGACCATCTTTGGATTACATAATCTGCCCTAGTGGTATAGATGCCCTTATCATTTAGGTGATAAAGACTGGCATCCCTGGAAAAGCATTCCTAGGTTCAAGCTCAAAATAACTATAAACAGAAGAAATGGCTCAGAGCTTAAGAGCATTGGTTACTCTTGAAGAGGACCTGGGGTTCGCTTCCCAGCAACCACATGGTAGCTAACAATGGCCAGTGACTCCAGTTCCCTGGGATCCAATGCCCTCTTCTAGCCTCTATAGGTATTGCATGAGATGGGTGTATTACATACATGCAGGCAAACACTCATACACATAAAATAAAACTAAATAAATAACTATAAATTGTGTTCAGGATGCAACACTGAATTTGTGTATTTTTTTCTTTAGAGGAGTCTAGAAGAGTCACAGGAGATAATATACATGAAAACGAGAACATGAAGAAGAAATCAGAAGGTACTAGTTGAATAAAAACTTTCTACTAAGTTCCAGCTTTGTCTGAAATACAAAGTGTAATCTTCTTTCTCAGTCTCAAGAAAAACAGTTTAACCTGGCACTTGATAAACGAATAATGAAGGGGCGCTCTTAAAACACCACAGATTTACTTTTAAATATCATATACTTAAGTATTTTAATATGCATAAGTATTTTTAATCACAAAGCTGTGGTATAAAATTATAGAAAGTAAAATCTCTTTCAAAGCAAGTTTTTTTAATGTCTGACACAATTGATTTTTTAATTTGTTTTATTTCAGATCTCCAGATAATCAAAACAATGAAACTTAAATGACTCACCACCAAAGAAAGAAGAAATTTAGCATGTAGCCTTAGACTTCATTCACATGACAGGAATATGTAACAGATAGTATAGTTATTAAAAAATGATAGGACTGTTTAATTGGATTTTGTATTGTAGTGTACTGTTGTAAATTTAATCTAAAACATTAAATCCACAAAAATAAAATACATCTCAAACACCTAGAAAGATCAACAATTACTCATAAAATAAACTGTAAAATCTCTCCTCTTACCCACTATGCCATAAGAAGTAATGGTATCACAAAATAAAATTTTAATTGCTTCTGATTATAAAACAGGTACAAGCAAAGAAAACTTCATGATGAATAAATGTAAGATAATATTAACTAAAATTCCAGGGAAAACTTTCAGCATAGATTAAAAGCTTATAAATAATAAATGTGATTGTGTTACTAAATACTGTTCAGTTTGCTTTATTGATATAAAAATATATACAAGTGTTTTATGAGCATCTGTGATACTTTGTTAGCCAATACCATGCAACCTACTTTTAGGCAGGTGACATAATGTAGCTATGTCAACTTAGGAAGTCTAGGGAAATCCTTCAGTCTTAGAAACCTTTGCTAATAAGTTTTGCAATGAGAAGATACAGCTCAGCTGAGATGGTTACATGTGGAATTTCTGGAGCCTTTGGGGGGAATCCATAAATTTAGCACATTATCAAGAATGAATATTTTTATTTCCATTAAACTGTCAGAATATACTTTAATTCTGGTTACTTTCCATGCTTTGCATTTGAAGAGCAGAGACTAATCCTGGAATGCCACCTTGCTTTCTAAGGAACAGAGAATGAAGTATCCACCCAAGAAGCAGATTCGGAAACAATGTGGTAAATACGATTCAGTGTCCACACACAAAATAAAAGGAAAAAAAAAGAAAATCTTAGGTAAGGCATATGAGGGGAAAATGGACTCTTGTGCTGTCTATTCAACCAACAAAGCCAATTTCCACAGTATGTCGATTCTTGGGTTATGGCTTGTAGTACTTGAAAGTTTCCATGAGTTGTTTTGCCCTAAAAATATAATTTAAGTGTGATACTCAGTCTATAAACCAATTCTAGATGTCTGACTTTATATAGCTAGAGAATACAAAATATTACTATGAAGTCTTAAGGATGAAGAAGTGTTAGGTAAAGTAGTTAAAGATCACTGAGAATAGACCTTCCTTGAAAATAATCAGGTCTTCTTTTTCCAAAAATGTCCTACTTGCTCTGGGAACATTCACCTTAAAGGGTGATGCTGTCCAGAAATAGACAAACAGGCTTGTAAACCAGGAAAAAAAACATAAAAAGCCAAATTTATATCAAAAATTTAAAGATTTTAAATGGGAGAAGGATGGACTACTTAATGGGTGTTCCAAGACCCCTGGTTATCTCCACAGTAACTATAGGACAACAGAACCGGCAGAGAGCAATATTGCTTTACTCACAAGTTGGGGTACTCCTTCTAAGCAAAATCAAGGCCAGGAACAGAATTAACAACCACCACAACATAAGTGACTGTGTTAGAAAAGTTGATTAAATAAAACGGAAAGACACTAGGCAAGGCAGTACACATTTGTCATCTCAGTAATCAGGGGGCAGGCCAAGAAGATGGCTGTAAGTAAAGGCCAACCTGGTCAACATAGGGAATTCCAGGCCAGCCTAGGCTACATAGTATGAAAACCTACTTCCAAAGACAAAAATAAAATAATTTTTAATAAAATGAAATTGAGATCTTAATGATAAAAAACAGCAAAACAAAGTTACTGTGCATAAAACGCCAATAAAATGTTTAGACTTTAATAAAGAGGAAGATGAGGGAGAGCAAAACAATGAGGGAAACACAACCTAATAGTGAAAAAGGACAAAGTGTAGCAGGTGATTCCGAGAAGAAAGAAAATGCAAAAGATAAAACATAAAAAAGCGTAGCCAAGCTGACCACCTGTGCATGACTGACAGGGCGCAATGTGACCACCACTAGGGAAGACAGTGTGACCGTTCCTCAACATAGTAAATATCAAATTACGATAAGATCCAGCAATTCAACATCTATGTACACTCTCAAAAAAATTAAAAACAGGCAGGTGGCATAAGCCTAAAACTCTAGCAGTAGAGGATTTAGAGAGAAGGATCCTCGCTGGTCAGTCAGTCTAGCCGAAACGGTGAGTTCCAGGTTCAGTGACTGTAATGAGATGAGTTACAGTTCACGAAGACACCCTGACAACCTCTGGCCTCCACAAGTGTGTACATGCACAAACAGGATCATCTGCACACATGTGTACACACACATATACCACACATACACACATGCATACACAATTAATTAATTAATTAATTTTAAAATGTTTATTTATAAAGATATTCATCACATGTTGCTTATAATATTACAAAATTGGAGCATCCTAAAAACTCATTAACTTGACAATGGCTAAATAAATTATGGCACCTCTCTACTATAACATATTCACTCATTAAAACGAGTGATCTACCAAACAAGTATGGCCACCACAGCCCAGTTCTTCTCTCCTCTGATGCAGTTTTCAGTTACAAGTCTGTAAGATGTGCTGGTCAGGCACTATCGTTGGATAAAGAGGAACTGATCAGGACAGACTGGTCTCACATGTATGCAAGAGAATGCTCAGTTGACACCTTACCCCAGTATGCCCCTAGATATAGAATTTAGGGCAGAACGTGTTCTTAGGGTCCCTCAGCTGTGATGAAAAATGAGGCATCAGTGAAGTGAAGCATTCTACCAAGAAGAACATTCTCGAACGGAGAGGCTGACTGACCATGAGTCTTAGACTTCTGCAGTCCCTTGCCACCTCTCTGTGCATGATAATGTTGTTCTGCTTAGCTTGTCTGAGACTTCTACCTCACTGAACTGGTGCAAGTAGATTGATAATGGTGACAGCCCCACCCTGGACTGATGCCACAGTACAATGAAGTAGCTTCACAGTGTCCATGGGATATTGTCGAAGCGATAGTTACAGACCTAATTCTAAAATTATGAGTTAAAACTCTAAAACTTTGAGAAGAAACAAAATTGTTCCTTCCTTGAGTTAAGCAAATCATTCTTGGGAGACAAAAGATGCTACTATAGATCTCTTAAAACGGCTAAAATTAAACAGTTTGATTACACCAAGTGCTCATGGGAAACTGGAACGCTCAGAAGTTAAGAGGTGTGAATTCTACAGCTTCCTTTGAAAACACTGTGACAGTTTCTTATGAACCTCAGCACATCTATGACCCAGCAAGCCCACTCTAGATATTTACTTAGAAGGAATAAAAACATGTATCCACAGCCAAGACCTACATGCAAATATTTACTGCATTTTATTCATAATAGCTAAAAACTGGAATAACCCAAATGTCCATGAGCAAATTGATGTACATTCATAAAATGAAATAAAAGTTGCAAATAAAATGAAAGAAACTGTTATTTGACAATCACAAAAATGTCATTTGTGAAATTTTTCTAGAAACAATGAAACTATAAAAGAGAATTCAGAATAAATTGGTGGCTACCAGAGGTTGTGGGTAGAGGATGGGATTGACTGGGGGTTATGGACGTGTTCTGTATCCTGATTGGCTAGTGCTTGTGAGGCTGTACATTTATCAAACCTAACTGAACTGTACATATAAGGAGGCTGTGTTTTATTATGCAAATCATGACTCAATAAACCTGTCTCTGAAAAAATAAAATGAACTTGAGTATGTGATTGCAGAATTGGTTCAACTCAGTCACATTAATATCTAATATAGTTGTAGGTTTGTGATTATTTATAAATGTTCACAGGTATTAAAAAATGTATTGAGGGGGGCATCAAGATAGCTAAATGGTTAAAAGCACTTGCTGTGCAAACAAGATAACCTGGGTTTGATCCCTGAATGGTATGGTGGAAGACAGAACCAACTCCCAAAGGTTGTACTTTGACTTCCACACTCATTCCATGGCATGTGCACTCACACATACACATACCTGTACACACACACACACACACACACACACACACACATCAAACAAATAATAACAAGAATACTGATAACGCATTTTTAAAAAAATTTTAATGACCTAGATCCAAATAAGAACTTTGCTTATCTATAAAAAATTCTTATTTTTACAAGCTAGGTGTGGTGGCACACACTAATCCCAGCACTCAGGAGGCAGAGGCAAGCAGATCTTTGTGAATTCAAAGCCAGCCTGGTCTACATAGTGAGTTCCAGGACAGCTGAGGCTACAGGGAGACCCTGTCTCAAAAAGACCAAAAAGAGAAATTCTTATTTTTACTATATGCATGTGTACTACTTAAATTTTTCTGCATGCATGTCTATGTGTGTATTTTTAACAATAAAAAATAAATACAGCCAGGCGTGGTGGCACATACCTTTAATCCCAGCACTTAGGGGGCAGAGGCAGGCGGATCTCTGTGAGTTCAAGGCTAGCCTGGTCTACATAGTGAGTTCCAGGACAGCTGGGGCTACAGGGAGACAAAGGAGTCTCCTACTTCAATGTTGTAAAAAGTTTCCTTAATTTATATGACAAATACCCCATTTTGTCATACTGATTTACTGGTGGGATGGCTCAGCTGGTAAAGCAGAAGAAGCTGAGTTGAATTCCAGAACCCATGTGAAAATGCCAGGCATGGTACAGTGGTGCTTGTAATCCCAGCACTGGAGAGGCAGAGACGGGAAATCCCTAGAGCTCACTAGCCAAGCAGTCTAGCCCAACTGGTGAACTCCAGGCCTCCCAAAGGTGGTGAATGGCATTCCTAAAGAAAGACACCCAAGGCTGTCTTTCAGCCTCCGTACATGTGTGCATGTGCACACATATGAATACACATTTAAAAAAATAGCAAAAAAAAAACCTGATAAAACTTACCTTTTTATATGAACAATTGTAACTGAAGTCCTAGATTCAAGTGACTCTTTTTTTTCCTCTGAAACCTTTTCTGCCACAACTGCCTTTCACTGCAGTGTCGTCCTAAATTAACCTTAAGATCTCTTGAAAGATGTCTAGAAAGTTTTGTGAGGATGTTTTGATCAAAAATATTTTTAATCAAATATATCCTCATCTTTGGAAACACATCATGAAATTAGATAATTCAACATAAACCTGTCAGAAAGGTCAGCAGAAACCAGTATTTACAAACAAATGCTAAATAACCATGTTTTATCTCTGGTAGGTTTAATCAAAAAGTTTCTTTGGTGCTTTCTCCTTAAATTTATATTTGTTACTTTTATATGCAAAACTGAAAACAAAATCATTTATGGATGATGGTGTGTGCATATCACAACTGTGCCAAATGCTAGTTCTTATCTGTAAAAGGACCTTGACGGATAACAATACACATA